AGATTTTCACCCAGAGGGAACGCCCCTGGTCGGAGGGGAGTTGTGGGGGGAGTGTCAAGGTGCGGGTTGTGTCTGAGCGGACAACGTATTGAACTTTGTATTTGGAGTTGGGGGGACGAAATCCTATTGTTTATTTTATAAATTAAACTACGCCTATGGAAAGTAAAGCTAGACAGGATCTTCTTGGCCTGTGGGGATAAGCAGAAGCTAACTCTGATGTGGGGCATCCCGCGGGAAGGACAAGACTTTATGTGTCTGAGAGGGACGTGGTTTTTTTAAAGTTACGAAGAACCGCCCTTCTGTGTGGTGAGTACATTGTTGAGAATTTGTTACCAAGTGCAGGTAGAGCTCTTTGAGAGGCTGCCTACCTAAATGAGCGTCTCAGAGAGAGGCTTAGAAAGAGTGAGGACAGAGGATGACGGGCTCTCTTCAGAAAAGTTTCTTCCTTTACCTTAAAACAAAGCAAAACAAAACGCCCTAGAAAGGAAGAACCTCAGAAAGGTTGAAGCCACTTCCCACTGCATTGGGACTCCAGTTCACAGGTGGTAAAATTGAGGCCTACAGAAGTAAATTGCTCAGGAGCACACAGCTAGATAGTAGCAAAGCCAGGACTAGAACTGGGCAGAGGCCAGGCCCCCTTCAACAGCACAGAAACCTGAGTATTGGATTCTATAGGAGTATGAACCTTCTTTTTTTTCCGGTACGCGGACCTCTCAGTGTTGTGGCCTCTCCCGTTGCGGAGCACAGGCTCCGGATGCGCAGGCTCAGCGGCCATGGCTCACGGGCCCAGCCGCTCCACGGCATGTGGGATCTTCCTGGACCGGGGCACGAACCCATGTCCCCTGCATCAGCAGGCGGACTCTCAACCACTGCGCCACCAGGGAAGCCCAGTATGAACCTTCTTAATCAGATATTTGGTGGCTGAGGAGGATGGTGAAGATTTTTTTCCTACTTGTTATTTACTGTAGGAAGCCTAGGAGCTCCTTGAAGTTGTATGGAATATTGGGAAGTCGTGGAATTGAATTTTTTTTAATTTATTTTATTTTTACTTATTTATTTTTGTCTGCGTTGGGTCTTTGCTGCTCCACGCGGGCTTTCTTTAGTTACTGCGAGCAGGGGCTACTCTTCGTTACGGTGCACGGGCTTCTCATCGTGGTGGCTTCTCTTGTTGGGAGCACGGGCTCTAGGTGCGTGGGCTTCAGTAGTTGTGGCACACGTGCTCAGTAGTTGTGGCTCACAGGCTCTGGAGCACAGGCTCAGTAGTTGTGGCGCACAGGCTTAGTCGCTCCGTGACACATGGGATCTTCCCGGACCAGGGATTGGTCCCCCGTCCCCTGCATTGGCAGGTGGATTCTTAACCACTGTGCCACCAGAGAAGCCCATGGAATTGATTCTTAATCCAGGCTACTCTACTTGCTAACTTTGTGGTTAGCAAGTTACTTAATGGTATCTCTCAGTTTCCACAAATGTAAAAGAAGAATAGCTATCTCAGATGGTTCTTGGAAGGATAAAATGAAACAACCAGTGTAAAGCACCTGATATACACAGTATTGGTTCCCTTTCCTGATGAATATTATCTCTTATTTGTCTTGCCTTCAAACTTTTGGACAGTTTTCACTGTTTCTTTCTTTCTTTGTAGAAAGTAAGTATCCTTTTAATCTCTGTTATAAACTACTTGAGATCAGATACTGCATTTTTTCAGCAAGTCAGCAGACATTTATAAGATTTTTATTATGGGCCTACACTATACTACAGTGAAAGTAAGGGATACAGTCCCTAATCCCAAGGAACTTAAAAGTCTAGCTGGAAAAACAAAGCATGGACATTTTAAAAATTAAGTAATAATATTTCAGTGCTCTGCCCCTTTCCAGAAGGATTAGAGGTGGCTAAATAAGGCTAAAAACAATCACTAGTACAATAAATGTCCCCAAACAGAGAGATGAATATTAAATGATGGAGATGCATTTCTTTCAGAAGAGAGAGCTGACAGAGTTGAAGAGGTTAGAGAAGGATTTCTGGGACAAGTAGAGCTTGAGGTGGGCCTAAGAATGAGAATTTGGCTGGAAGGAAAAGAAAAGAGGGTGTTTCATTACAGAGTGAGACGGAACTCAGCAAGGACTCACTGGTAAGTAGAACAGTAATCAGATTGCTTGAGTGGAGGGTTTCTGAAGATAAAACAGGAGATTCAGCATTGCAAAGGACCTCGAATTCTAGGCTAATGAGGGAGGGGTAAGTAAAATAGAGTAGGAACATGCCTAGGAGCTTATTCTTGGTGGTTCTGGCATACCTCACCATTGAGGGAAGTGTTCTAGGGGAATTAAGCTACAGTGGGTGTGAAATGGAAGAGAGGAGCTCAAGATTTGTTCTTCCCTCTTTCCTATCACAGCCGCTTTCCCAGGGTCCTGCAGGCCATCTCTAACACTTGCCTTTTCTCTCACTTCTATCTGCAGATGGCCGCCCTGCTCCTCCAATGAAAGGCCAGCTTCGAAGAAAAGCCCAAAGGGAAAAGTTTGCAGTGAGTGGCCAGAGCCCACACAGAGCAAACTGTGTGTAATCGGGGAGAAATTTTAAATTGTAATTTGTCTTTAGTTGGCACCTAAGCTAACATGTACCCCTCACTCCAAGGTTTTATCCGCCAAAGGTTTTAACAGTACCGGAAGAAGGGAGGGTAGAGTGGGGCACTCCTAGGGCAGGAACCAATAGTAGACACCCATTTTGCTGCCTTCCTCCTGCTTCCCAGCCCAGGACCTGGTTCCACCCCTTCCCCAGTCAAGGGTGTCATTTTCCAGCTGAAACCTCTGACTTTGATCTGTGAATGAAAGGATATATGGTGCAGAGCTCAAGCCCCAGATGTTATCCACACTGTTTTCCTGTCTGTTTCAGAGACGAGTTGTACTGCTGTCACAGGAAATGGATGCTGGATTACAGGCATGGCAGCTCAGGCAGCAAGAGAAGTTGCGGGAAGAAGAAAGGAAGCAGCAGAATGCTCTTAAACCCAAAGGGGCTCTACTGCAGAACCCACGACCAAGTCAATAAAAAGCAACTCCTGTCTCCCCCGGCCTGGCTCTGGCTTTCTTTTCTATCACCTAGATGTGTCATCCCAGCCAGAAGAAAGTCTTTATGTTCCCCATCTGTCTTCAGGGCAAAAGAGGATGGACACCAGGAAGAACAGGCTGTAAGATCACTGCCTGGAAGTGTTGGCACAGTGCCCTCACCACAGCTCCATTCCGGGTCAGCAGAATCT